CGTTGAATGAGCCAATCCATAAAGAAGCATTCACTTACTTCAACACATATTGAGTGCCTACTATGTGGATGGCCCAGAGGTGAGAGCAACTTGTTGAAAGTTTTTTAAACCCTCATTTCTTTAACCTTCTTTTTCCATAATTATCTTAATCTACTATTACAGGTTAACCCCTTTAACTTCTCTTTTCCAGCAGAATTATACTATATGGGTCTTGGTCTGACATATTTTCAATGGTGTTGAAATACAAAGCAGTGATTCCACACCCAGATGAACAATAGTTGTGAAATGGATCCTAGAAGAATGGTAAAATCAGAGGAGAATGGAAGGTCATGGGTTTCCCACTTGGCTGAATTAAAATTCAGACTAGGCTGCTTCCCTTCCCCTTTGTTGGAGACATTTATAGCTGGGGGTTTAAGACTGAGACCCAGGCTTCCTTAAAGAAAGTTTTACTTTGAATTTCAACAAAAAAGCAAAGTGCATGATGGGGAGTCTGACCAATTGGATATATATTTGCTGAAATGTATTGATTTAAAGAAGCTCTTGAACACTTGTTTTATTGCTTTTCAATTGGTCTCAGGTTTTCAATAAAGAAAATAGAGGCCGGGCGTGGTGGCTCATGCCTGTAATCCCAGCACTTTGGGAGGCTGAGGCGGGTGGATCATGAGGTCAGGAGATTGAGACCATCCTGGTCAACATGGTGAAAACCCTTCTCTACTAAAATACAAAAACTTAATTGGGCATGGTGGCACGTGCCTGTAGTCCCAGCTACTCAGGAGGCTGAGGCAGGGGAATTGCTTGAATCCAGGAGGTGGAGGTTGCAGTGAGCCGAGATGGCGACACTGCACTCCAGCATGGCAACAGAACAAGACTCCGTCTCAAAAAAAAAAAAAAAGAAAGAAAGTAGGATAGTGGAAAGAGTACTCGTCACTGCAACTTGTGACCGTGATTAACCTCTCTGCATGCAGGCTCTCATTCACGCTGGTGTTGCACTAGCTGATCATCAAGTTCTTATCCAGCTCTTATTTGCTATGTTCAATGGTGTAATTTAAATAAGTTAATAACCAAATTAATAATTGAATAAGAGCTATTCGAGTCCCTCATTAATCTACACTGAGTTTCACATATTTTTTCTAACATATCACCTAGTATCTATTTATATCAGAAGGGTGACAGTACAAATGTTTTTATCCATAGTATGCACACCAGTATTCCTCTTCCTGCTCCTTTAACCCTCTAACTGATGACTGTATCTACAGCCTACTTTTCTTTAGGAAAAACCACATTTTACGTAATGTATGTCTATATTGGTAACTCTTAGATGTTAAAATATTTAATAAACATGAGCTTAAGACTCCGAGTACAAATGTCATTGCATAGAAATCAAACAGAAAGAAATGGATATAGTCAAACATGACTGTGGGCCGGGCACAGTGGCTCATGCCTGTAATCCCAGAACTCTGGGAGGCTGATGAGGATGAATTGCTTGAGCCTAGGAGTTCAAGGCCAGCCTGAGCAATGTGATGAAACTCTGTCTCTACAGAAAATACAACAATTAGCTGGGTATAGTGGTGTACACTTGTGGTCCCAGCCACTCAGGAAGCTGAGGTGAGATGATTGCTTGAGCCTAGGGGGTCGAGGCTGCAGTGAGCCATGATTGAGTCACTGCACTCCAGCCTGGGTGACAGAGCGAGACCCTGTCTCAAAAAAAAAAAAAAAAAAAGGACTGAATAGTATGTAATATTAATGTTAGAATTAATTTAATAAAATATACAGTTGACAAAAAATTCCATTTTTCTTTCATTCCCATGGACACCAACATTGATAGAGACACCATCATCTCTTGGCTGGGTATCTGCAAAGCCTACGGTCAATAAATGTTAGGAACACCATTATCCCTTTCCAGAATACCTAAATAAATTTGAGGATAAAAAACAGAATTGTGGATACATAATTTCTTGTTAGGATGGCTGCAAAACCACATGGTCAATACTGAAGCTAGTGAAACACTATCTGTATCCCAGAAAATTGCAAAAATTCATGGTCAGTACCATGGTTAGGGCCACTATCATCTCTTAACTGGACACATGCAATATCGCATGGTAACTAATGTTGTTAAGGACACGTCGCTCTTTACCTGGACAACTAAAATATCCTAAGACCACTAACATGGTAAGGGACAGAACAACTTTTATCTGGATACATGCAAAATTCAGAGGTCAGCACTGTATATACAGACACCATCATCTTCTAATTAGATACTTGCAAAAACCTCATGGTTGCTAATGTATTAGATAAACACCATCTGTAACTTGATCACCTAAAAGGGCCAAAATAAACATGACAGTAGGGGCACATCATTCCTTGCCTAACTGCAAAATCCCGTGGTCATGATCTTGATTAGGGACACCATCAACTCTTATCTGGATGCCTGCGCATTTCTGAGGAAAACACCTTAGTTACAGGCATCTTCATAGCTTAATAGGATATCTACAAAATTTCCCTGGTCGCTATGGTGGTTAGTCAACATAACTTACAAGAATACTAGCAAACAAATTTGGTCACTATGTTGGCTTAAGAACACGTGTATTGCTTACCTGGATATCAGCTTTGGTACTAACATCATCTTGTATTTGGATGCAAGCAAAATCTTGCCTTCAGTACCATAGGGAGGCTTTCAATAATCTTTTAATTGGAATTTACAAAAACCCAAAGAGACAACAGTGCTTAAGGACAAACCTATAACCTGGACATCTGAAAATTCTATGGGCACTATAAACTTAAAAAAAACCCATAAAATCTACCTAGATACTAGCAAGTATCTAGGATCAACATTGTAGTTAGAGACACCAGTAACTCTTGAGTGGACATCTGCAAAAACAGCAATCAAGAGATGACGGATCAACTAACAATAATATTTCATTTGTGATTTTGCTGGAATCAGTTAAGAGATGATATGGGCCTTAACCACAGTAGAGAAAGCACCATCATCTCTTAATCGAATCTTTAAAAAAATCATGATAAAAATTGTGTTAAGAATGCATGTACTATACGAACACCTGCAAAATTCTATGGTTACTTGATAATTATGGGGCCCTTCAAATCTACCTGGAAACATTCAGGTGTTCCAAGTCGACAACCTAGTTAGAGGCATATTCTCGCCTTGACAAGATAACTGCAAAAAAAAGTCATGGTCAATATATAGGTGTTGGACAAAATTGTAACTTACTTGGATACCTGAATATATTGTAGTCACTACTAAGGTTAAACACATACCTAAACTCAAACAGAAAGGCTTATTGCTTCAGAGTGTTTATTGGGACACTATCATTTCTTACTTGAATACCTGCAAAAAACCTCTGATAACACAAATGTTAGGGATACCATGTATACTCACCAAGATATCTGAAGATCCCATGATCTGTAGGATGCTTAAGGCCCACATAATCACTTGTCTACAAGCAAAGCCCCCATTAATGGTCATTATGAAGTTCAACATGATCTTCTGGCTGGAACCTGAAAAACGCATTGTGACAAATGTGATACAGACACACCTTTTCAACTTGGACAATTGCAAATAATCTTATTCACTTCCATCATTGCAGGATACATCTCTACCTGGAAACTTGCTGTAATACGAGGTCTATACCATGGTTAAAGACACCATCGTTTTCTGACTGCACACCTTTAAAAATACCATGGAAATACTGTGATGCAGAACATATGAAAATTACCTGGATGCCTGCAACTCATAAAACACCCACAGTGTAAAAAATAAATTTTCTCTAAAACACAGAACAATAGGGTAACATGGTTACTAGAATTGTTTTTTAAAAAATCACATGGTAAACAAGTTTAGGCAAACAAACATCACTTATCTAGATATGTAAAGACCAGATGATCTGTGATGTTAAAGTGCACATCATCACTAACCTGGATACCAAAACAGCTCCTGATAATGACCATTGTTAGGTTTGTTATAATCTCTTGACAGGAACCTGAAAAACACATTATGACATATATACACACACGTATAAAGGGATATAATGTGTTCTATCTATAACGATGCTTGCAAATAACTTTATATGTATACACACACACACACACACACATATAAAGGGATACAATGTGTTCTATCTATAGGGATGCTTACAAATAACTTTGGTCACTTCCATCACTATGAAAACATCAACTCTACCTGGATACTTGTAGTAATACAAGGTCAAGACCATTGTTGGATAAGACAACATTTGTTTTAGGCCACCTGTAAAAATCCCATGGTTACTATTGTGACTAGTAATTATAATTACCTGGTATGTCCAATCCCTTATCACTCAAAGAGTTAAATAAATGTTTTCTTAAAATATAAAAAGGGCAAATTCATGGTTTTGAGAATTGGTAAAGACTCTATAATTTCCTATCTGAATATTTAAAAAGAAATCATGGTAACATCAAGTGTTAGGGACACAACCATCAATTATACCTATATGAAGATCAGATAACCTGTGCTCTGGTTTAGGTCTCTTCATCATCATTTACCTCAAAACCAGCAATATCACATATTAATTACCATAGATAGGCTCACCATGATCTCTGGACATACCCTGGAAAACATGTTGTGGGAAATAGGTTTGGTACTAGTCTAATTCTACTTGTAGAACTACAAATTCCCTTGGTCTCTTGAATCTTTTGGGGCCCATAAACACTAGATAAGGGCAGAACTACAAAGTCAAACTATAGAAAGAGGCACCGTCCACTCTTTGACAGATACCTCCAAAAATCCCATGGCCAATAATGTGGTGATGAGCAATATGATAAAATACCAAGATACCTGTACATATGTCTATCAGTACAAGTGTTATATACACATTATCTCAAAAGTAAAATACATTAAAAACTCATGGTTCCTGTTACTATTAGGGATACTTTGATTTTTAAACTGCATACACGCCATAAACAAGGTTTATATAACGGTCCTGAAAACACCATTCATTACTTACATAACTGAAAAGACGAAGGCATCTAATGAACTAGAGTCACACCACCTCATGCCTGTATACTACCAAACAACTTTTGGGAAGCCTGAAAAAGACAAACACAGTAACACTGTGTTAGAGGGACCATACTCACTTACCTAAAAATCTGAACAACAGGTGGTCTGTAGTGTGGTAAGACCCAATTTATCACTGACCTGGTTACTACCAAGAACCCACAAATGACCATTGTTAGGTTCACTATGATTTCATGACTACTGGTACCTGAAGAAACATATTCAACAACGAATATGTTTAATGAAACACGCTGTTTTACCTGCAAAAAAGGAGGGGGCACCTGCAACTTGTATCAGTCATTTTCCTCATTAGAGGAACCACCAACACTACCTTGATCTTAGTAGAACTTTGAGATCAACACCAATGTTAGAGAAACCATTATTGCTTGACTTAGAAATCTCATTGGTCATACTATAATGTGGAAAAGTAGGATAACTCACCTGGATACCGGCATAGCCCTCCTTAGAGACTAATGTTAAACACACATTATATATTTTTTATTTTTTTAAGAGACAGGGTTTTGTCCTGTCACCCAAGTTGGAGTGCAGTGGTGTGATCACAGCTCACTGCAGCCTCGACCTCCTGGGCTCAAGTGATCTTCCTGCCTCAGCCTCCAGAGTAGCTCATACTATAGGCACATGCAACTATGCCCAGCTTGGTTAGGTACTACACATTATATCTAAATTCTAAAATAATAAGGGCTAATGCTTACTAGCCTTGGTGGGGAAAACATTTCTTAACTGAATGCCTGCAAAAAAACCATGGTAACACAAAAGGTAGAGGCACCATCCACACTTAATTATACATCTGATGATTAGATTGTTTTCTGAGTGCTTGCTTAAGGCCTACATCATTACTTACCTGGACGCAAGCAAAGTCTCGTTCTTGATCATGATGAGATTTACCATGACTTCTTGACGGGATCCTAAAAACACATTATGACAAATGTGTGTAGACACAGCTTTTTTTCTAGAACCCTGCAATTAAGCTTACTCACTACCACCATTGCAAGAATCATCAAGTATACCTGAAATCTTGCAGTACTCCAAGGTCTATAGCACTGTTAGAGATACCATTTTCTCTTTACTACTTACCTGCAAACAAACCCACAATTGCTACTATGACATGCAACTCCATGGTTAATTTCTTGGATAGCAAATAGCTCAACAATCACAAAGTTAAGCATACATTTTCTCTAAAATATAAAACAGCAGGATAACATGGTTGCTACAGTTGGTAAAGACTATCATTTCTTACCTGAGTACCTACGGAAAAAACCACATGCTAAAAAAGTTTAGGTAAATGTATACCACTTACTTAGATATATGAAGATCTGGCCGGGTGCGGTGGTGCACACCTGTAATTCCAGTACTTTGGGAGACCAAGGTGGGTGGATTGCTTGAGGCCAGGAGTTCGAGACCAGCTTGGCCAACGTGCCAAAATCCCATCTCTAAAAATACAAAAATTAGCAGGACGTGGTGGTGCACACCTGTAATCCCAGCTATTCAGGACGCAGAGGCACGAGAATCGCTTGAACATGGGAGGTGGAGGCTGCAGTGAGCCGAGATTACCCCACTGCATTCCAGCCTGGGCGACAAAGCAAGACTCTGTCAAAAAAAAAAAAAAAAGATATATGAAGATCTGATGGTCTATGATGTGGTTAAAGAACACATCATCACTTGTCTGCATAACAGAAATGTCTGCCGTACCAACCATTGTTAGGTTTATCAGGGTCTCACTACAGAAACCTGAAATACACATTGTGAAATATGTGCTAAAGGACACAAACATTTCCACCAAGACGACATCTGAAAATAACCTTGGTCACTCCATCATTACGGAACACATAACTCTACCTGGATACTTGTAATAATGCAAGATCAATACCACTGTGATCTACAGATATGTAGGTTTTCCCAATTTTTGTGTTGCCATATTTTGTTCAGGTATTTAGTTAAGGAATTATATTTTCCCAAGCAATGCTGGTAAGCATTAGTCATTATTTTTAGAGTTTAGTTATAATGTGTTTAGTCTTATAGTGAGGGAGGGATATGCAGGTATGCAGAAAAACAGCAGATAAACTTAGCCACTTCCACAATTATGGGACATATCAAATCTATCTGCACAATTTCAGTGATACGGGGTCAAAATCTATGCAGAAATCCATTATTTCTTGACTGGACACTGGGAGAAGTCCTATTGGCAGAACAGGGGTGAGGAACACAGTGATAGATACCTGGCTGGTTACCTGTAATCCCTCAACACTCTCAGGGTTCCGCATATACTTTTGGTGAAACAGAAAATGGGAAAACTCGGCCTATCTGGGATTGGTAAGGACTCAATCATTTCTCTCCCGAATACCTGGGAAAGAAATCACGATGGGAAGACATGTAGGGATACATCATTACTGAACTAGGTCTCTATGACAGTTCCACGCTGCAGGCTGTGGCACTTACCTCACCCAGCAATGCCCACATTACCTAGGATTGAAAGGCCTGCTGTGATGCCCTGACACACATCTGAAAGACATATTGTGGTTGATCCACAACCTGTGCTACAAGGACAATCACAAATACTCTTGTTCACTGGCATCATTTCACGACTCATCAAGGTTACCTGGATAACACAAGAACTCTGAGGCTACAGCCTACAAGGGATACCTGCAGAAACACCACAGTCCACATCGGCGTGACAGACAATATGATCAACTACCTGGGCATTGGCATATCTGTCTATTGTGTGGAGTGTGAAATTTGCAAAAAACAAACAAACAAACAAACAAAAGCCTTACCTCTGAATAAGCAAACAGTAAAATCTCATGCTTACTGGCATTGGGAATCACTACTTATTTTTTCCCAATGACACATATGCCAAACACAAGGTTACTCTACCAGACTCAAAACCACCATTAATTTTACCTACATGCAGGAAACACAGAATGTCTTTCATGAGATAATGTCACAACATCTCTTACCTCTCTACAGGAAGAGAACTTTACGGGACCCCTGCAGGAAACCATGGGAAAAACACTGTGTCAAGGAGAGCGTCCTCTTTGTCCAGGAAATGTGAAGTTTCAGGTGGTCTATATTGGCATAGGACTCATGTGATCAATTACCTGGTTACAATCCAGGGCCCCTGAATGGTCATTCTCAGGCCGGCCTTGATTTCATGTCTAGCAGCAGCAGAAGAAATGCATCTGACAGGTATTTTCCGGGATGCCACTTGGTGTACTTGAAAGATGAAAAAGACACGCACTACACAGCCTGGTCACTGCCGTCATCTGGGAACCATCGACCTTACCTAGATCCCGGCAGAACTCCAACTTTCACCCCACTGCTGGCACCATTACTGACTCCAGACTGAGGATGTGTCAGAACTATCATTCCATCCTGTGATCTGGTAGAGTAGGATAATTTACCTGGACACCCACATCTCCCTCAGTCAACATGGACTCAGGTTCAAGGCACATTTCCTAAAGTTGAACACAGCAAGGACTAATGCTTACCAGTCTTGGTTGGCAAAGCATTTCTTAACTGAATAACTGCAGAAAATAAAGAATAGAAAATGAGCTGAGGAAACCATGGCAGGACAGGGACAAGAGCCGGAAAGTCATCTGTATTTATCAGTGTATGGGAAGATTGGATAGTCCATGGCCTGCTTAGGCCCATGCCGTCACCCACCTAAATACAGGCACAGTCCTCTGCTCAAGCACAAAGAGGTTTCCTGTGACCTTTCCAAGGGAACCTAAAACCACATATGTGACCAATGTGTCTATGGACACAGTCATCATTGTGGGAGCCAAAATTGTACCTGGATGTTTGCAAGCCCTCCAAGGTCTAGGCCATTGTAGGACATGCCATTTTCTCTGGCCCGCTTCTCTGCAAATCCACCGCGGTTACTCCTGTGATGCACAGTGCCATGTGAATTCCCTGGCACGTGTCAATCAATCAGCACTCACAGGGTACATACCTCATACGTTCTCTCCTGGACTGAAAACAACAGGATCACATGGCAAGGAGAATGGGGAGCTACTACCCTTTCTTACTGGAATACCCATAAACCCATCACATGGTAAACCGTTCAGGGAAAGGAACCTCACTGACCTAATACGTTAAGATCAAATGGTCTGTGGTGAGTTTACAGCACACACCATCACTTACCCAGATAGCAGACATGTCCCCTGATCATGTCTCTGGTTAGTCAGGATTTCCTCCCAGGAACCTGGAAAGCATACACTGAGATATATGCCTCAGAAACACATAAACTTTTCTACCAGGACACCTACAAATCACGCTGCTTACATCCATCATTGAAAGACTCTTACCTGTATGCTGACAGTGTCCCCAAGCTCAGGGCCATGATCCCAGAAGACAGCATTTCTCTCTACAGGACACCTGCAAAATGTCCATGGTCACTGCTGTGGCTGGGAAAGCCGGATCATTACCTGGTATTTGTTGTCCCACTGCACTCACAGGTTAGTCACATGCAGAGGGAAAACTCACGGTTTAGTACGCCAGGGAGTCTTACCATTTTTTCCTAGGACAACTGAAGCGAAATCTTGGGAACAACAGGAAGGATGGACCCATCATCACTTTCCTAGACAGCTGAACCTCACGTGGCCCATGCGTTGCTTTTAGCCCTCATCAGTGCTGACCTCCAGACCTGTTACCATATTCATTGTGATGTCATGGTAGGGGGCTGAAATAGGCACGAAGATATATATGTAGAAGGACATGGGGTTTTCCACCAGGACTCCAGCAAAGTGCCTTGAGTTCTTCCAGCTTTATGGGACACACCACTAGACCTGGATACTTGCAGTAATCCTACGTTGACCCTGACAGCCGAAAACCACCATTTCACAACTGGACACCTCCACAAATCCTAGGGGCAGCAGTGGGGGTGGGAAATACAGTGATAAATACCTGGTTACCTGCAATCCCTCAACACTCACAGGGTCAGCATACACTTTCAGTGAAAGAGAAAATTAGAAAACCCAGCCTATCTGAGACTGGTTAGGACTCAATCACTTCTCACCTGATACCTGGGAAAAAGTCACGGCAGGAAGACGTGTAGGGACACGTCATCAGTGAACTAGTCTCTGTGACAGTCCCACGCTGTGGGCTGTAGTTTAGGCCCGCATCAGCACTTACCTCCGCCAATAATGTCCCATGTTACCTAGTTTTGATAGGCTTATTATGATATGTTAATGTAAATCTGAAATATATATTGTGAATAGTGTGACTGGTACACATATCATTCTACCTATATACCTCCAATCTTTTCTGGTCACTTTTATTATTTTTGTATTCATCGAATGTACCTCAATACTTGTAGAAATTAGAGGAAAACTCCTTTTAAGAATCCTTGTACTTTCTTGATTAGATCCCTGCATAATTCCAGTTGTTAACATCATGGTGTTGTACAACACAATCAATTACCTAGATGCCTGTGGATTTGTGTAGCCCTGTAAGTGTTCATTACTCATTATCTGTCAAGACATGCAATAAATTCTCTTGATTATTCGTTATTACTAGAGGCGTATTTATTTTTAACTGCATAAATGTGAAACACAAGTTTAAGTTAATACTGTGAAAAACATTAATAAAAGTTGATATCTGAAAATATCAAGCTGTTTTACATGTTAATACAACCTTACCTGGTCTCTATAAACTAGCCCAAAAACCTGAATGGATTACCTACAAAATACACAGTAGCTTAAGCATCAGGGATCCCTTTTTACGTACCTAGAAAATCCAATGCTCTGCATTGTGTAATTACCCCCATTATAGGAAGCAAACAGTTATCACTACCTGTTTACAAGCAATGTTTCATTACTGAGCATTATGTGATTCACTTCATAGTTTTGACAAGAACCTGAAAAATCATATAAGACAAATGTGCTTCAGGTCACAACTTGTTCTCCCCGAGCACTTGCCTACAACCTTGTAATGCTTCCATTATTTTGGAATACACATCAACTCTACCTAGACACTTGCTTTAATTCAAGGTCAACACATCTTTGTTAGAGACACCATCATGGGTGGTGATAACTGCACAGCTGATAATATCCCATGGTTGCTACTCTGATGGGGAGCTACAAGATATTTTCAAGGACACATAGAAATCATTGACCACTCACCTGATTAAATGTAAATTTTCTGTGAAATACAAACTCTGTGATAACATGCCTGCTAGAATTAACAAAATACTATCATGTTTTGCCTGAATACGTACCAAAAATCAAATGGTAAAACTTACCTAGATATAAAAAAATCAGGCGAATTCATGATGGGCTGATAGGGTGTGCATCATCACTGTACTTAGACCAAAATGTCTTTACTGGACATCCACTT